AGGGGAAATTAGGAGACTCCGTACGAAACGACTCGATTTCCTGGATTTAACTCAAATTCCCCCTTCTGGCTTATTCAGCATAGTAAGTTACGAATTGATACAGCTATTGCCATCTGATTTTAATCTGATGGATACGCGAAAAATATTAAATGATTCTTATATTTATCACGTACTATAATTATTTCACCATACTTTTATAAATTTTGATTATAGAATAATGTCATAAAACGATTTTCTTGAATATGTCTTGATGATCGACTTTAGAGTGCTATTAATGCACGAATTATATAAAAGCACAAATTTGAAATTCTATTTTAACAATTACATCAAGTAGAAAGGTGATCATATATCTAATCTAACAGACTCTCAAAGTATTCTACATGGAAAGAGCGATTTTGCTTGAAGTATCTAAAGATTTAGCTAGATACAGATCTGAAAATAATTTTAATGGATTAAAACAATTATGTAGGACATTTGTTGAAAATAATTACATAAGAAATTCAACAAACTGGTTAATAAAACGTTAAAACTTTTTATAACACTGCTCATCGTACTTGAGATTTCTAGTACAAAATTATTTTGATTTAGATACTTCAGCAAAATTGTTCTTTCCGTGTACAATTTTGCTTAAGTATTTAAATCAAAATAATTTTGTAGAAATCTCAAGTTTGTGATGAGCGGTGCTGTATAAAGTTTTGACGTTCTAGCAACCAATTTGAATTTCTTATATAATTATTTTAATCATTTTGGATATGGCAATCTTTTAGGGAGAGAACTGTCTTTATGTATTCTTAGTGTTATTTTTTATATTATATGTATTAACCTAATTAAAGATAACAATCAATTAATTGAAAAATCTCAAACAATTAAAAAATCAATATATTATTGTAGCTGTTTTATTACAATAATATAATAATAAAAAATATAAAAATTTTATACAAAGACATATCTTAATTATTTTATTCTCATAACATTTGCATTATGTACCTGTAGATCATGTCATCATTTAATTATCTCTGTCAAACGTACTGCATTTGCGAAGATATAAGACTTATTTCATCGACACAGTATTGGTGTTAATTTCCGTTCTCCTTTTATTTCTTCAAAACGCTGTACACGATACGGGCATTGCATATATGAGAACCTCTGTCCCGGTTGAACGGCCATTACTGGATGCGACGTGTTAATTAACGTCTCTTTAGCATGATAATCCGTACGCGATATCCATTAGCCTGTCAAAATACATCACGGCGGTTAAGCGATTTGCTTGTGGCGACGAAACTACGCAGATTCTATGGACGTAATCTTAAATTGATATTAGATAAGTACATTTCGCGTGAACGGTTTTGATTTTCGTATTTCATAAAAAAACATATATTTCTCACAAAAATTATTGAAGTATTGTAGAAATAGATAATTGAGAAATATAGATGCAGTATGTTACAATCTTCATTGTGTTCTATGATATAAAAAAAAGCGTAGAAAAATACGCAAGAAGAAGTACCGACAAGAGTTACAGACAATATTGTGATTCACACGAATTTATGTAGTAAAACTTGCCAAATGGAAACATTGTATAATATAATAGTTGTAATATATTATCGTATCTCTAAGAACTTTGATAAAATGACTTGTGAATTAGTCACAAAGGCAGAAGAAATTTCATATTAAATCGATCAAACAGCATAATTGAAGATGGTAAATCGGTAGTTAAAGCTATTCTATTGGACATCGAGTGCTGCTGCAGCTATTATCCTACGAACCATAAGCTGCCATTGGTAAATGGGATTTTAATGGATGTACAATAAAGCGAGTGCATTTATTCCGCTTACCGAAACGGCGCGGTAAGTCATAATCAATTGTAACGAGCGCGATTCATTTTTCAAATACTACCGATAGATGCGCGTTCTTCACTGTCCTGGTTTCTTCATGCACTCACTATTACATTTTTATTTCATGCTGATGAAAATACACGCGTACAAACGTACATGTATATTAATATATAATAACACGAGTTGGACGAATTTTACGATCAAGCGAGAAAACGCATTAACTTACTTGCATTTCCTGCAGTCTTCAGTAAAATTTACTATTGGCCCTTTCTTCCATTTCTAGTAAAATCCAAATCTCATTTCTAACTACAATATATCGATTCTTTCATGATTTTACGATTTTTTATAAACGTCGTTTATTTACTTTTGCAGTAATCATCTTGAATTCTCGCGCGCGGGCGCTTCATCGTCCAACACTCTATCTTTCCGTGAACATTATTCAATGCCCGCATTATGATATTACCACGTATAAGTGTTAAAATTCACTCGCTCACGCGAATTTATCGCGCCCCGTCGCAAATTGCTGGTCGTAATAGAAAAAAGATTACCTGAAGCGCCAGGATTTTTCAGTATTTACCTCGGCATCCGCAATATATTTCCTTCAAGAACTAATTTCGTCCGGGAAAGAGAAGCAACGGCTACGGAAGACTTATTACCTAGCTGCCTTACGGTCTCTCGATAAATAGAAAATCAAGAATCTCATCGGTAACGAACTTACTTCGATAGACTATCATAACTCACCTCCGGCTGGTACTCGTCAGAGGGTCGTAGTCTGGCCTCGCAGGAAAAGCTCCGTGACGCGGAAGTAATTTTCAACTCCAAACCGTGTCCTATCGTGGATGGAGCAGCCTCGTTATTCGACCTCGCCGTCATCAGAAGGGCTCTGATATTCGCGCCATGGTTATCTCTCACTAATCTCTCTCTCTCTCTCTCTCTCTCTCTCTCTCTCTCTCTCTCTCTCTGTGTCTTTCTCACCTAGACTCTCACTTGTCCACATTGTATGCACGCGTGCACATACAACACACATTCAATGTACGTACTTTCCTTCCAGCGTGGCTCGTACTAGACGTTCTTCTCATTTTCACGCAGATTCGCTCAAAGCGAGAGAGCAAGCCGGAGATCCGAAGACGGAGGAGAGACAAAACGCCCAGAAGCAATAGAGGGAACAGGAACGTTTACCCTGCAGCCTCAATCTAGGCGGCATGTGATCTTTGTGCATGCGCGTCTTCCTTTTGCTCTTTACACTTTGAATACGGGCGAGGAAAACGAACAGTCGAGACTTGAATGAGGAAACGAAAGGGGATGAGCGTGAACGCGTGATAGGAAGAAAAAGAAAGACAGAAAATGGGAAGAGCGACTACGCTGTCGCGCTATTGTACGTGACCCCGAGCTCTCCGCAGGCGTTTTTCTACAGCAGCATAGTCGTCGTTCCTACGTCTCAGACGAAACACGTAACGCGAAAGAGGGTTTTCTGGTATCCGATGACGCATTTGCTCGTTTTATTAGTGAAGCTCAAGTAGAACTAATGCAAAAATGTGTGTGACAATTAGAAAAAGCCATGAAAGTGTGTGTCGTACGCTCTAATAAACAAAAAGCGAATAATAGTGCATCACGTAATGGTACGCGCCATCTGATGTCGTCCAATTATCGTGTAATCTTTAGAAAAATTTCAAGACCAAAACTGTATGATTGGTGTCTGCAGATAATCTGCAACAATTATTCGTACTTGTACGATTGCGCGAACGTAGGACAATAAACACGATGAATATTACAGAAAGTCTGGAATATAGAAACGTGATATATTTTTACGTTTGCCAAGCTGACGCGTGCAACGAACCAGTTACATTTTTACACCGAAAAAAGCGGGCGACGGTCACCGGCTGCGACGTTACTCCAATAACGGAACAAAAATAAAGAGCGCGTGTGTGCGAGATGGAGATTATGACTCGCTTCTTATGAGGTGCACGCGAATTAAGCCGGACAGGCCGGGCTCATCTAAATTCACGAAACGCTGGAGAGTAGCCGGACCTCGGGCTGCTAGATGCAACCTGATGGAAACGGAGCGGAATACAGCATCCACAGCCAGCTAGCGCCTCTCCCTTTTACGTTCGGACGGCCGCTGTCGTGCCTGCGGCGGGACAATTGCCAACGGTGGA